AGTACATAGCAAGCAATAGAAAGAAATGTCTCTTCCTTTAACACATACACAACACACCCAATACCAAATGTCTTTATGTAAAGAAGTTGTTCACCATTTGATCACCTATATTTCAACCACAGACTCTTGAGCCCTGAGCTCCCCCATTTGGAATTGATCAGTCAACCGCATCGCCTTTAAACCTATCATGCACCACCAAATAACCTTTAACAATTTTTGCCACCACACCTTCCCTAGGTAATGATGCTTCCTCATTAAGCTCAACCTCCCTCTCCCAACCTCCACCTCGGGTACCTTTATAGAAAACTTCATTTCCCTCTTCATCTTCCTCCAGGATGTCAAACTCATTTACCATGCCACCATCATATATACCCATGTCAATATTAAGCTTGTCGTCTAGAAATTTTTGGGGCAAAGAACTTTCCTCAATGAGCCACCTTTTCAAAACCTCGCACATGTTCTTCACACCTAGCTTTCTCGATATTCACCAACTTCCTCCCCAAATACTTCTTCTCAACAATTAGCACTCCATGCTCTGTTACCAACAAACCCACCTCATCAGCCAACTTCTCACAATCCACTAGCAAACCATCTTATTTAGCAATAAGCCCAATAACCTCATTATCTTTAACTCTCTTCTCCTTCAATAGCCTCTCCCTCTCACTCTCAAGTCGAGAATGACCTACAATCGTTGCAACTTTCTCGCCGTGAATAACCTCCATCTCCTCCTTCAACAATCTAACCTCCTATTTGATAGCAATTCGCTCTAGTTCTCGCTTTTTACCTCTCAAACATTTTTTCAATGCCTCCAATGTCACCTCAAAGCACAACCTCTCCTGCACAATCTTTGCCTAATATTCCTCCCAATGTATGCCCATCTACTCACTCACCTGCAACATAATAACAACCAAAATTCTAGCTTGTTGCTAAGCTCTATACGCTATAATACATGAGTTAGCACACTGAGAATGTGCCTTATACCTCTCTGATCATGCAATACCACACTTCCACTTCATTTTCCAAAAGTCCACCATAGAAAAAGATCGCCCCAACATCACCACATCCAGCCCCTCCACAAGTGTTGCGCTTTTCTATCATGTGGTGATCAAACTCGGCTATCTTGCTAATCAACACAAACTCCCCATTCGATCGCCCTACACTCCACAAAAAATTTAGTACCGCACCAGTTGGCACATGGCCTAACCATCATACCTCTATCGATGGTTATGGCACAAACACAAATGTCTCATCTTACTCACCATTGGTAGCTCCTATGGTGGTCTTATGCGCTACTCCCTTAGCATAGTTTGGCTCCTAACTTAGCTTCGACATTTGGATTAATCATCCATGCGGGAACATAGGGCCTTTTCTTTTATTAGAATTCCTAACATTTGCCTCCTTGTCCAACACCACCATCTCTAGCGTAGACTTCCCCTTAATCGCATTTTCTATCATCCCACCGACTTCCTACACGTTCATCCCCACTAGCTCACTTTTTATCCCAACAACAGCCTTTTACACCTGTTTGCAACTCACTAGAGCTCTCCATCTGCACCCTCTTTGAAATAGGCCACTCACCCTATTCTCAACAACCCACAATCAATTTGTCATCCTTGGTTGGCTCACACTTCTTTGATGAGAGCACGATCTTTGATTTTTGTTTCTTCACCAATGGCATAACATTACCCTCCTTAATTAGCATTACCAACCTCCATAGCAAGTTCTTGCTCATCCCCATCCACCTTGAACTTGGCCTTCAATTGTTTCCACATACTTTTTCGCATCAAACCTGCAAAACAAAACAACAAGAATAAATACACTCCAACATGTAACAAACAACAATAATAGAACACACCCATACTCACCTTGTAAAGCCTCCTCTAGATTATTGGCACTCGGCAATGCCAACACTACCATCATATCTAAAGGACAAGGCAATTTCACCAACTATAGACACTCATTAACCTCAACCTTTAAAATTATTGATCCCTTATTGTAGACACCCAATTTCGTCCGGTAGCATACAAACAAGGAAATGGACTTCCATATTCAAAGAAAAGGAACTCCCAAGAATAGAAACGACAGGACATGACATTAGAAGGCCTAAAGCCCAAACAAGCTGGTTTTAGTAGCCTAGAACAGGTTGTTCCAAAACCAGAACGGGCCGTTCTCAACTTGGAACGGGCTGTTCCCAACTCGGAACGGGTCATTCCTAAACCGGAACGGGCCGTTCCAAGTTAATTACTAAAAAGGCCTAAAACCCTAGTTTGGAATAGGTCGTTTCAACATAGGTTGTTATGAGTAAAACTCGAACCCAGAATGGGCCGTTCCAGATTCATATTTTACCCATAACGGATTGGCTCAGAACGTGTTGTTCCAAATCCGGAACGGACCGTTCTAGTCAGTTCTAACGTCTATAAATAGACGACTCGGGCACAGTTCTCAGGGCCTGAAAATTTTGTCTAGAACTCCTTATAGCTCAAAAATTCTCTCTCTCTCTCTCTCCCTCCTATTGTATTTCTTGAGATTTGTGAGACATATTGTAGTGTGAAAGGTTGCCACAAAGCACCTAAATATCTCCATATTTGAATATTCAATAGAGCTCGTTTAAGAGGTATTTCAGTCGATTCTCTCTTCTTCTCTCTATTCCCTTATTTCAAATATTGTTATAATAAGAGCAATCACATAGACGTTTTAGGATTAATCGTGTAATTTAAACTTAAAGCATGTAAACAGTAATTCATAAAGGGGATTAAATATTTAAATTGTTAATTTTTACTATGCTAACTTCATCATAAGGGTACCGATTAAGGGCGTTGTAAGGGTGATTAATACATTCCTTACACGTAATCGACCCCCGAACCTAATTCTGATTATTAAGGCCATTATTGAATCTTTAAAAACTTTTTCTTTTCCCAACGTTTTGAGTAAAACATTGGTAGCGACTCCATGAACCTATTTTTCAAAACCATTAATTAAGGATTAGTTTAGTGTTCAAGCATTCCTTAATTGATGATATTTTCAAAAGGATGTCTAATCCATAGGTTGCAAGATCAGAAATTTTCGGGTTGCGACACTTATCCCCATTAAACCTACGGGGACTCTCCATCCAATGCCATAGAAACTTCATTTCCCCGTGGAAAATAGAATTATTCCCCCTTCCCATACCCCGATGTAGCCTTAATCCACACCAAGTCACTCTTGAAACCCTTGAATGACTAAGTAAACAAACTAAAAATTGTCTTTCTATTCCACCCATTCAGATCCTATTGGTGGACCCACCTTCAACTAATAGAAGTACATAAACTTCTCCAACGTTGGATCTATTCCAACATATGTGCATAACATCTGAAATGCCTAAAGAAATGTCCAATTATTAGGATCCAGTTGACTCGACGCTACATTCGTCTACCAAAAAAATGTACATTCAAGCTCACTAAACGACAGTGAAACCTCAATGTCCTAAAGAATGCAACAATACATGTAAATGAACGGCTATGGGCACATTTCCTCGCCCAAATATGCATGATCATCTTCAGTATATAGCCACACCACAAATAAGTGAGCATCATCTGTCACCCACAAAACACACTTATCAAGCAATAATGCCATAACTTCCTCCGAGTCCAACTGAATCTCGTATCAACTCACTTCACTTTTCACCCACTCGTAACCTTCATGGTTGAAGGAATCTTTACCTTTACCATCTTTAGTTCCTTCCAACTATGATTTTGCTCCCTCCTTAACCCTAACTAAAAGTAGCTCTACCATCAACACTTATTGCCTAATGTCAGCTACACTCGCCCATGAACCACCAACCCCTAACGTTCCCCCTTGAGTGGTTGCATCATCCCTCTCCACCAACAACTTCATCACTATGTTGAACAAGTCGTTGTCCTCGAATGTCAACTGCAAACACCTCTTTCCTATTTCCACATACTCAAACGCAACACAACCAAAAACTAAAACACAACGAGGAAGAAGAAAATACTTGTGACGACATCAACAAAGTTGAAACAAATGGTTACACACACAAACATGATTGACAGGAAGTGACACAAGCATCAAATTAATGAATTGTCTTTCCAACTTACTATTGAATGGTAACAGTGGCAAACCTCCCATTCAAACAAGCCCACACTTAAAAGTCAACCCTTAATGAACAACTCTGATTTGTCTACATCACCTATAATAAATTGCTTATTTAATTGCAACAATCAACAATCGCAAATGTCCTCCGCTATACATGGCTCCCCACTAATGTACATTGTCATAATTCCTTCCCTCCTATAGAGCTCAAAATTAAGGGGGCTTATATACTACTCAATTTGGACACGTCGAGCTAAGCTAAGCCATTTAGCTCAATCATATCGAGCTGAGCTCGAACAAAACACTCACCACAAACCTGTGACAAGCTCATGGCTAAATAGTGGATGACGACAATAGTACCACATTGATGATGACATTAGTACCACATTGATGATGACATCAATACCACACTCCCAAGAATCTCAAAATAAAATAAACGATGAAGCAATATCTCCATGCAATAAATCTCATACATAATCACAAGGACACCACTTAACTACCACACAAAATCATCTTCTTAAATTATGCAATGAACATACATATAGGAGGCATTAGGTAACATTCTAACCTGACCTAATTCTTAACCTAGACTCCCTTCTAACTTAAGCGTAAGAGTGTTTTTATGATGCCCTCCCCACCGCAAACATTGAAACAGCTTGGATGTCATCTCTGTCATTGGAACACTTGCGAGATTCTGGTAAAAACATATCCCTTGAATATATGAATTTCATCTTTTTAAATATTTTTATTATTTAGTACATACTTAAACAAGAAAATGAAGTTTATCCAAACTTAACAATAAAATAGGACAAAATAATCATGAATAACATGTTATTATACAACATTTTAAGGGTTTAACAATGTACATTGTGCATATTAAAAATATTAGTTTATAATAAATAAATAAAAACTTTATTTTTAATACATATTTCTATTTAAATAAACTTTTACAATGCCCAAATATTACATTTGGTTTATGACATAAACAAAGCTGCTTAGTATTATTGTTAAATATTACATAAACAAAGCAGCTATATCATTACATAGTACATGTGTAAAAAGTGACTGTTATTTGAGTGGGTAAGACTTAAGTTGAAGGAAAGAGCTTCCAAAGCCAACTAGATGCAGGATAGAGCTTTGGAATAAACATAGAGTTTCTTTCCCGTTTTCATGTACTCTCGGAGGAGAAAGGTTATGCTAATGGAACATTACTTGTGCCAAACCGCATAATTGTGGCCACTAGTTGATAGTGTCCATTCCCTCCCAGATGGACACCATGAACCATTTCCGATCTTCATGCACACTTTTTCCCCGATGATTGCAGCATAAAGGTTGTGCTTGGCTTCTAGAATCCTAATGGGTGATCTACTTTGAATACCTTGACGCTTGCGAACATCAATCTGTAGTTTAATTGTATATAGTTACTAAAGTCCCTTGGTAAAAAAAAAATGATTATGCTACAAGTTCTCTTACGTACCAACTTCACAATTTGCTCCCGAATTGAGTTGCCCCAGTCATATAAGTGGTCATAGAAAACGGTTGGTATTCCGGGATGGGTCAATATGTAAGCATACCCCTGCATAAACCATAAGTCGGTAGTACATGAAAAAATTTATAAACATCAATGAACTCTATTTAATTATAAGTACGTGTAATTAGTTTGGATATGGGACTTCAAAAATTATTTCTAAATTTTTTGTAAGTATTAATAGACAAGTCACAACAACTTGGAAGAAGGCAAAGAGGCATTTTCATGACTTCACGAGAAGTTCACTAACTGTCAAGTTCAAAGGTATTCCTTTTATCAATAGAAAATAATATTACAACATCATCGACAATAAAAATTGTGTCTAAATCCTCTTGCATCTATATTCTCTTATCGCAGTATCACTATACCAATCCTAGTAGATAAGTTCAAAAGTAATTATTACTTCATAACAAGTTCCAACAATTTTGTCTCAATAGAAAATAATATTACAACATCATCGACAATAAAAATTGTGTCTAAATCCTCTTGCATCTATATTCTCTTATGGCAGTATCACTATACCAATCCTAGTAGATAAGTTCAAAAGTAATTATTACTTCATAACAAGTTCCAACAATTTTGTCTCTGACAATACAAACAACAAAAGAATCGATAATGACCACAGATAACTTTTGTGTATGGTGTGTATGTTTGACCATTTGTTTTGTTACTAGAATGTTGAATCAAAGTTTTAATGCGGCATAATAAAAGTCTACTTCTTGCTGCTGCACCATATTTATCTGTACAAACATTCTTTATTAATCCATTTAAAGTCTCTGTTTAATTTGTTAAGTAGTTTTGAATGGTCGGTGCGACTCGGTGGAACATAATGTATTAATATCCTTTATAAATGACAAAAGAGAACACATGCAGTTTAAATTTTACAAAATTTTCATCTTCTTTATGTGTTGGATGAATTAAAATAAAAATTGACATCGAGAACAATAGTTAAGTGTGGTATAGGAAATAGACAAATAAAATGAGAATATGTTACCAAACTATTAACATGCACATTAGATAAATTACACATAGGATGATAATATTATTAAATTTAAAAGTATGTCAATCAAGTAACTATAAAATTTTATGATTATGCACCGTAAAAATGTAAATAATTATCCTATGGACAGAAAAAGCATTAATTTAATAGTTACTAATGCCCTAAAAAAGAAGTACCTCCATAATATGGTCTTTCGGGAAAGGCCAATGACCCTGCAAAACAAAAGCATAAGTTCAAAATCTAGTAGATAAGTAGTAGAAAGAAAAGTTTTATGCACAAAACATAAAACAAATAATATAATGTCAAAAGAAATGGAATCTTTGGATATTGGGGCCAACAAATAATTATATAAGAAAAATATAAAAGGGAAAAATAACAATACAAAACTAGTTGGAATTATTACAAAATGTACTGAAAATTTTGTTCCCCAGCACGTAATTAGTGCAGTAGAAACAATTAAGAATAAAAAGGTCGTAATATAATCGAAGAAGTGTCTTGTCTTGGTGTACCATTGTAAGTAAGAGTTAAGTTGTACCTGAGTTGAGCCTGTATCATGATTTTCTATGAATGTGACGGATCTTGATGGCCACCACCCGACCACACCCGGGGGCTTCCCTTGAGGATCACGCAAACGCCAAAATTCTCCCTTTACAGCTTCCTACAAATTAAGAATAAGGTTATGGTGAGAAATCTAATTAAATGAATTGAATATCAGATGCAGCCGAGAGTGTCATGGTTTGTATACTTGATAATAAGTATCGATCGATTTATTGAATGGTAAAATAATGAAGGGATTAACAAAATCTTAAGTGTCTAGAAAGATATCTAGCTACTATTGGCAATTTCAAACATTTACTGAATACCAACTATATTGAGCACAAAATATTGGGTACCTGGAGAATTCCCTTTGTTGTAAAGTCAAATGCAGCTGAAAGTTGTCCAGTTCCATCAATCCAATTGACTATTCGTTGCCTATGGCTATCTGTAGAAAATAGACAATAAGGTAGCTAAGGTTAAACAATAATAAGAATACAAAGTGTAAAATACAAATATTCAAGGTCACACTTTGCAAAAAGTTAATCCACTACACCATGACCAAAATATATATACTTCAAAATAAAATGATAACCATTAAAAAATGCCAACATATACTTTACATAATTATTTTTTTTAAAAAAAAATCAACAGTTTGTCACTTGTACCAAAAAGAGAAACTCGAACAGTATTCTCCTCCTAGAATTAAAATGAGGTGTTAGGATAAAAAAATTTTATACTGGTAACCAATTATATTTTTTAATTGTGTCATGTCACTATTAAAAGTAAATGTGTTTACAGTGACATGACACAATTAAAAAATATAATTATTTATATCTTTTGTAAACTGATTCGATCCATCGGACATATGTAGACCATTGTGTAGATTATATGTTGACTTAATCAAAACAAAGGTCCAATGATTTGACCTTGAGAACTATATATGTATACATTGGATAGGGTTTATCGTAATTATGTCAAAAATTTTACAAATTATCCCTAGAGAAACTAATATTTTAATACATTCGAACACAAAAAATATATTCTCCTCCTAGAATTAAAATGAGGTGTTAGGATAAAAAAATTTTATACTGGTAACCAATTATATTTTTTAATTGTGTCATGTCACTATTAAAAGTAAATGTGTTTACAGTGACATGACACAATTAAAAAATATGTTGATGAAGTTGTAAGATGTTTGATGTTTTAAGTTGTATATTGATAGATGATAAAGTTGTAAAGTTGTATTGAAGCTATAATTAATTAAGTTGTTAAGCATGTGGTAGAGATATATGTCTTTGCCAAGATACATAAAAATTAGAGGAGAGTAAAAGGTATTTAAGAAATTAAAATATCTCATTGTATGAATATAAGTTGTGACAATCTAAAAGCCCAATTGAGAACCCATTAGTAAGTAAGCTAACTTCTGAATGAGTAGTTGTTTAAAGTTGTCTCCTCCTGGTTCTATGTGGAATCTATATATGGGTAAGGTCAAGATATACATGTATAAAGTGATCAATCGAGTAAGATACAAGGTCAAAGGGCTTAGTCCCTCATTAAGTACTAGAAGAGCGTAATATTTGGAGGGTAGTCAGTGGACAAATTTCATTGGGAGATTAGTGTTGCAAGCTAATGTTGTGGTAGACTTATATCCAAATTATTCTATCCTAATAAGAATACTAGACTTCATAGTTTAAGTGACAAAACCTGAGAAATCAAAATTGTAAATTTATACTTAGCACTCTTTTAGGCCTAGCTAACATTGTATATACTTGACCTAGTTACGATAGGTTAGACATTGTGGTTTATTAGAGTCTAGACACTTAAACTTCTCATCTCTATTGTAGGAGATATTTGTAGTTGATATACATGATGACTCATTAATTACTTATTTTTGTCTATGTTGATTATGTTGTTATGGTGAAGTTGTTAAGATGTGTTGTGATGTTATAAGTTGTTGAGATGTTGTTTATAAGTTGAAAGTTGATATGTGGAGTTGTATGAGATGTCAAGCATGATATCCATGTTATATTGTTGTAAGTTAATGTTGTATATGTTGTTTCTATTTCACAACCTTACCCTTTCTTTTCCTTTTGATTGAAATTGCAATGGTCATACTTGATATGCAAATAGGGTAGGATTAGTAGGTTTACTTGGATGGGAGTGGTGAGTCGTGTTGGTGATGACTCTTTTGTTGATACTACTCTAATGTAACATGGTTGATACATAGACACTTGACTGACGACTAAGATTATTTTATATACAATGTTGCAATTCATGTATATGGTTTATATGTATAAGGTATGTCTGTAACCCCTTAAGGGACTATTTTTTGTTTTAAATCCTTATACATTTTATTTATATCTATTCCATGAATGTCCATGTGATTATTACATAGTAGTCTTAGGTCAGTTGTATATTGTTTAAATCTTTTTTGTGCATTTTAGTTATATTATACTAAATATAGTGACTTACTAAATCGTTATAAGAGCATTATTTATAATTAATATGATTAAAGATATTTTAATAAATATAATATACATTTTATCTAAAATTATAAAAAAATTCATTTAATTATCTTTCTTAATTCGTAAAATTATTTTTTAATATAAATATAGAAGAAATATTTATTTTTATACAATTTATTATAAATTTTAGTTATATATAATAAACGATTAATATGTAAAATATCCATATTAAAATACTAACGACAATTTAACATTAGATTGATAAGTATCACAACTCTTCACTTATGATAGTGATTTTTCCAAAAGTCAAGATATATTCACCATTTCGTGAATTATATCTCTTAACTTTCAACTTTCTTGGATAAAAAAAAAATCACTTTTTTCATTTATTTGAAAATATTATTAATTATTAATTTTATCAAAAATATATCTTTATGTTACATCAATTATTATTTTAGCACATATTTCTCTCTTTTTATTATATGAAAATATACATGAAAGAATTATACAAATACAAACTCTCTTGTCATAAATCAAAATCAAAATCAAAATACCTCACATTTCAAGCATCTTCAGAAAACGGCAGCCTATACCTAAATTTGTTGCTGCTAGATTCCATGGGCCCGACCATAGAAGTCCAATATGCTATGAGAGTGCTTCAACATCTATTTCTAATGTTCTATCCCTGTGCCTCACAAAATAAAATATTCCATCCATTAAAGCGCATACCCGAGTACGGAAATTTTGGCCCAACATAAAAAGTTTAAAAACACTTAATCTTATACTAAATATTAATTTTTAATAAACTTTTTAATTTTTTGAGTTAAGAAGTTATTTATTAATAATTTTTTTAAATCTTCTATATTAATCTTTTCACTTTTTTCTTTAATTTTCAAAACTAGAGTCATATTTTTTTAACAAAATTAGATACAATATTTATACTTGAGTAATATTTATGATAAATCATTTTCATTAAACGTTAACGCATGTTATCAAAGTTAAACTCGAATTCTGATTAAAGAAAAAGAGCAACAACATTCATGGTATTATGTGTAAGTTTTTTCTACTTTATTATTTCAATTTTTCATATTACCACAATTCTGTAAATTATAATAAATTAACATAAAATAAATATTACAAAGTAAATAAGAGAAAATGATGGAATAATTGAACTTAAAAATGAAAAGAATTACATATTTTTTAGCTGAAACAAATTATATGATAATATTATCTACTACAATGATTTGATATTTATATCTTTTGTAAACTGATTCGATCCATCGGACATATGTAGACCATTGTGTAGATTATATGTTGACTTAATCAAAACAAAGGTCCAATGATTTGACCTTGAGAACTATATATGTATACATTGGATAGGGTTTATCGTAATTATGTCAAAAATTTTACAAATTATCCCTAGAGAAACTAATATTTTAATACATTCGAACACAAAAAATATATTCTCCTCCTAGAATTAAAATGAGGTGTTAGGATAAAAAAATTTTATACTGGTAACCAATTATATTTTTTAATTGTGTCATGTCACTATTAAAAGTAAATGTGTTTACAGTGACATGACACAATTAAAAAATATAATTGGTTGTCAGTGCAAAAAAAAACTTTACACTGACAATGTATAAGTGATTAACTCTTATAAAAAAAAGTCCTTCATATCAAAACAATATTTATTATATATATACTACTTTTAATTTAATTTTTAAATAAATATATTGAAATCTTGAATTTCCGATTCAATTAGGTATGTCTTCAAACATAAAATAATAGTAAATATCTAATGCTTGCTATAACAGAAAAATTGTAGAGATTTTAGAGCTTTTTTGTCTCCTCATAAATTAAAATTTCTATACATGGATCACCAACAATATATTCAAATTTCAAAAAATTTCGAGTTGAGTATTAATATACTTGTCAAATAAAAATATATATTTAATCATGGTACCCTGGTTATAGTCCAATGAACCCTTGTAGTTGCATGAATCCCAATACTCTCCAACAGAGAACAATGGCTTTGCTCCTTCAATGTATTCTTTCACATATTTTGGTGAAAACCTATAACATAATTGTACATAAATATAACCATAAATCATTAGTAGATAATGAAAGGAAACTCAAAAAAAAAAAAAAAAAAAAAAAAAAAAACTCCAAAGGCATAACATATCTTACCCTTTTGCAAAATCAAAACGAAAATCCTGAAAGCCTACTTCATGGCGTAACCAGCGGAGCCATCCAATGATATCTTTTCTTACAAAATCTTGAGTGTGGTCAATATTGGGAAATCCTTGGAAAATGTCCCCTGTGCTTCGATTACCCTGAAATAAAACAAGACGAAGAAATAACAAGATGACTTCTATGTAAGATGTAGATTAACAAATATATATTGGATTTGGATGTAACAAATGTTACCAATCCTCCGGTACATGAAGTCACAGCCCGTTCATCCCATGCTAATGGAATTCCATCAAAACGATTATATTTCCCTCCATGTCCTTGGGTGGTGCCAGTACGATGATTGATAACTATGTCAGCCATTGCTCTGACTTTGTATTGCTTCATCTTGTGAAGTAAAGCTTTTAACTGACGCTCAGAACCATATTTACTATTAAGAGAGTAAAGGTCCTGTGGAGTGTAACCTGCATAAAAGTTGGTTAGACAAAAATATTATGACATTAGTAGAAAAATATAAAACTCCACTTTATCAATATAATTTTATGCTAGTCTTTCTAAAAGACTATTTAACCTTCAGGTGCGAAAGATTGAGTTGGTGGTGGCAACCACACTGAAGTGAATCCAGCTTTAGCTATGTCACCAACTTTGCCTTCTAAATTATGCCACCAGTTGTATTTGTGAGACTCCCAGTTGAATGCCTGCAATGATTTTTTTAATGTTTACTCTATTTCGTGAAAAGTTTTTTTTATTGTTCCGAATAGTAAAAAAATTGTATATATACTGTATAGTATGATTCACATGCATACAACTAAGTAACCTTACTGGTTTTCCAAGCTCATGAACCTTTTTTTCAATTAAAAATATTATTGAAACTCAACATCAAATACTTCAGTGAAGAAAGAAGAAGTGCAATTCAGCCCAATTTAATTTTTTTTTTCTAGCTATAACATTAACATGACCATCATAGCACAACCATGCTTTGAAAAGTGTAATACAAAAAATTGGCATAAAGTGAGATTCTCTATAATATATATTATTAAAAAATTATTTTTACTCACACAATAAATATAATATATTAATATATTATTAAAAGGTGTATGTATAAATTATAATAACACATAAAATATATTATTAAATCTTATTTAAAATTAATATTTAAATTATGTATAATTATATGATATATATATATTACTTATATCGACAATTTTTATATGTTATTGTATGTAATGTTGTAAGTCAGAGGGAAAGTCTGCAGATAAACCTATAATAGAGTCATCAAAATTTACCTGAAAAAGTATTTCTTTTCCATCACGCAAAGTTGCACCTAATCACGTGCACAAGGAGCAATTAGAACATCAAATTAGGCACTATTAAAATACCATCTCAATTACAGTATAAGAATTAAGTTCAATTCTAGTCCATGATATAATATGTTTTACACGGTTGCATAGCAAGGCAACCATAAATGATTTTTAAAAGTACAACTTATGGAAACAAGTCCTCTAAATTAGAACAAGATATTCAATATTCAAACATTGAAAACTCTAAAGAAATAACGGAAGCAATTAGATGATGTCATGATATATTTTAAAATTATATCTAAAGCACATTTTCTTAAACATACGCTAAGGATCGACTACGCAGAAAAAAATAATGTGGTTTAACCATTTTGAAATTCTCAACTTTAGTAATCAGCAGGTTTGTTTAGAGTCAAAAGCATACCAAGATCATTTTGTTGATTGGTTTGATCACGTCCCTGCTTGCCAATCAAGAACCAAAAAATAGTAAGGACGTAAATCTTATTAATACAATAGAAAAAGAATGAAGAGATTTGTTGCATACACTGCTCCAGTATCCCATATTAACTCAAAGATTGTGAATACCAACTCGACTAAGGAATTCACTCGCACTGCTGTGACATGCATGAAAGATAATCAAAAGGAGAAAAATAAAAAAAATAAAAGAATTATTGAATTTCAAATAATAAAAAGAAAATACATGAATAAGAGAAGAGAGAAACTTACCAGATTGATCTAGGGAGGGAGGAGCCTTGGAGGCATTATTAATATTACTGAAAAAAGAGAAAAAAAAAATCAGTGGAATTAGATTCACACAGTGGAATTGGATTCACACATGAGCCGAGAATATGGAATATGGAATATGGAATTTGAAGATAAACAGGAATATAATATTAACTTTGAGCCAAAATTCATATTCAATATTCACCCAATTAGAAGAAAAAAAGGGGCATAGGGAATTCAACGTATGGGGAAGGAGGTGGCCCACTGCCATGTATCACTCGATGATGGGCTGAACAAGTTAATGGTATACGCTACGTTACCTTTCTTTATCTCTTAATAATTTTATTTTTTTTGTTTGTGCCACGTTCATAGTTATCAAATACATGGAGAAGGAATGAAAGAAATGGGTATCAATAGTTTTGTTTTTTTTTTGTAAATAGATTCCATTGTTTAAGCAATTGTATATGTTTATACGTGTTAAAATGTGGGTGATCTGTTATGTGTTGGTAAATTTATTGATGACAACTTCCGAGGATTTGAATGATGATGAGATGGGAAACATGAACCTGTTCTATATTGAATACTTTAAGGAAGATGAGAAAAACTTAACTGAGATCGATGCCAACACAAAAGCTTCATATGGCTTTCACGGTGAGATCTCCTCGTGTGATTCGTGGAGAAGAGTTGGCGCACGGATTCCATTGCATATATATGAGTAATTGTTAGTATTTCATCATCTCGTGTCTTCAAACTCTCCCAATCTTGTTCAAGGTTTCCTTAGCACTGGATTTGGCCAGAATCAGTTTCATTAAGTAAATGACCACTCCGGGAGACAAAAATTACTAATCAACTTGGGTTTATGTTTGTGTAATTTTGATTAATGTGAGATTCCAACCTCCTATATTTGGATATTGAAAACGAAAGTCTACTGAATTTGGTTAAAATTGAGATTGGAAGTTGAACGAGTGTCAAAAGTAAGTTATATGCATATATGCAAGGTAAAAAAAAAATAATAATAAAAATAAATGCTGCCAACAGATTGTCCTAGGTTAATTTCATTGCTCAAATTAACAACTGAAATGACTTGTGTGCTTAGGAAACAGTTTTTTTTAATTACTTTTTAATAATTATAACTTCACTTACATTATTTTTTAATTGTTATAGTTTAAAATAAATTTTGTAGTTTCAATATTAATCTTTTTCAATTATTTTTAGTTCATATATAGACTCTTTTAGTATTTATACTTGCAATTTATTAATCTTTTGAGTCTTTATAGTTAATTTTTTATCCATTTTGTCTTCATATAATAAAGGTCTTCAATTTTGTAAAAATAAAAAAAAATGTATCAATAATGAGTTGCATGTAAGAGTATAAAAGACATATTAGCTTCAAAAGATTTAATTTAGAGTAATTCCTATAAAATAAATTTAATATTAGACACAAAATTAAATTAATATTTTTGTTACATCAACATAAAAGAGACAATATTACAATAAAAAATTGACAAAGACTAAAAAGATTAAAAAACTGAAAGTATAATAGCTAAAAAGATTTGTTCTAAACTATAGAGACTAAAAGGTAAAGTAAGTAAAATTATAGGGACTAAAAATATATTTTAACATTTTTTAAGAAAAAAAAATTGACCTTTTGGCATACACAATATTTATCCAATTTCACTCTCTAATTTTTTTTATGCTTGCATTTGTTGTTTTGAGTTAGTTTGGTGTTGCTTATGACGCATATATGTTGGTTTGCGTGTTGCATTGGCTAGTTGGATGGCAAGTTTTGAGACTTTTGGTGATTCTACTATATGTAGAATGAGTATCATGTCAAGCATGCCTTCAATATTACAGTAAGAGTGGCTCAAGTTAGGGGATTTTCTTCCTTGATCACATCAGACATAGGAATGGTAGCGTCGAGCGTACGTGAATCAGTGAGGAGTCCTCTGACTTAGTTACACCAGGTGTGAAATGAGTGGCAACGTCATGCATGAGAACTTGAGAATTCTCTGACTTTGTGATGTTGATCCCCAAAGGTGTGGCACCAGGTGTGATCTAGTTTATGGATCTCTGCATAAATGACATCAAGCACAAGTTGAGTGGCATTGGATGTGAGTTAGATAAAAACTATTTGTTTGAGTGAGGTTAGGCGTGGATTTTTCATGCCAAGCACAAGAAACTCAGAGGTTGTCTACCTCACCCATGTCAAGTGTAGGAGGATTGACGTCAAGCATAGGTGAGACAAAAAATCTCTTTGTCTCAATAGCGTCGAGCGTACTTAAAATGGTGCCAAGCGTGGGTTGTTTAATGAAGTGTGATGTTTTAAGTTGTTCAATGTTGAATATAATGAATTATTGATATAAATTATGATGCTTAAAGTTGTTTATGATGAGAATTGATAAAGTTGATGAAGTTGTAAGATGTTTGATGTTTTAAGTTGTATATTGATAGATGATAAAGTTGTAAAGTTGTATTGAAGCTATAATTAATTAAGTTGTTAAGCATGTGGTAGAGATATATGTCTTTGCCAAGATACATAAAAATTAGAGGAGAGTAAAAGGTATTTAAGAAATTAAAATATCTCATTGTATGAATATAAGTTGTGACAATCTAAAAGCCCAATTGAGAACCCATTAGTAAGTAAGCTAACTTCTGAATGAGTAGTTGTTTAAAGTTGTCTCCTCCTGGTTCTATGTGGAATCTATATATGGGTAAGGTCAAGATATACATGTATAAAGTGATCAATCGAGTAAGATACAAGGTCAAAGGGCTTAGTCCCTCATTAAGTACTAGAAGAGCGTAATATTTGGAGGGTAGTCAGTGGACAAATTTCATTGGGAGATTAGTGTTGCAAGCTAATGTTGTGGTAGACTTATATCCAAATTATTCTATCCTAATAAGAATACTAGACTTCATAGTTTAAGTGACAAAACCTGAGAAATCAAAATTGTAAATTTATACTTAGCACTCTTTTAGGCCTAGCTAACATTGTATATACTTGACCTAGTTACGATAGGTTAGACATTGTGGTTTATTAGAGTCTAGACACTTAAACTTCTCATCTCTATTGTAGGAGATATTTGTAGTTGATATACATGATGACTCATTAATTACTTATTTTTGTCTATGTTGATTATGTTGTTATGGTGAAGTTGTTAAGATGTGTTGTGATGTTATAAGTTGTTGAGATGTTGTTTATAAGTTGAAAGTTGATATGTGGAGTTGTATGAGATGTCAAGCATGATATCCATGTTATATTGTTGTAAGTTAATGTTGTATATGTTGTTTCTATTTCACAACCTTACCCTTTCTTTTCCTTTTGATTGAAATTGCAATGGTCATACTTGATATGCAAATAGGGTAGGATTAGTAGGTTTACTTGGATGGGAGTGGTGAGTCGTGTTGGTGATGACTCTTTTGTTGATACTACTCTAATGTAACATGGTTGATACATAGACACTTGACTGACGACTAAGATTATTTTATATACAATGTTGCAATTCATGTATATGGTTTATATGTATAAGGTATGTCTGTAACCCCTTAAGGGACTATTTTTTGTTTTAAATCCTTATACATTTTATTTATATCTATTCCATGAATGTCCATGTGATTATTACATAGTAGTCTTAGGTCAGTTGTATATTGTTTAAATCTTTTTTGTGCATTTTAGTTATATTATACTAAATATAGTGACTTACTAAATCGTTATAAGAGCATTATTTATAATTAATATGATTAAAGATATTTTAATAAATATAATATACATTTTATCTAAAATTATAAAAAAATTCATTTAATTATCTTTCTTAATTCGTAAAATTATTTTTTAATATAAATATAGAAGAAATATTTATTTTTATACAATTTATTATAAATTTTAGTTATATATAATAAACGATTAATATGTAAAATATCCATATTAAAATACTAACGACAATTTAACATTAGATTGATAAGTATCACAACTCTTCACTTATGATAGTGATTTTTCCAAAAGTCAAGATATATTCACCATTTCGTGAATTATATCTCTTAACTTTCAACTTTCTTGGATAAAAAAAAAATCACTTTTTTCATTTATTTGAAAATATTATTAATTATTAATTTTATCAAAAATATATCTTTATGTTACATCAATTATTATTTTAGCACATATTTCTCTCTTTTTATTATATGAAAATATACATGAAAGAATTATACAAATACAAACTCTCTTGTCATAAATCAAAATCAAAATCAAAATACCTCACATTTCAAGCATCTTCAGAAAACGGCAGCCTATACCTAAATTTGTTGCTGCTAGATTCCATGGGCCCGACCATAGAAGTCCAATATGCTATGAGAGTGCTTCAACATCTATTTCTAATGTTCTATCCCTGTGCCTCACAAAATAAAATATTCCATCCATTAAAGCGCATACCCGAGTACGGAAATTTTGGCCCAACATAAAAAGTTTAAAAACACTTAATCTTATACTAAATATTAATTTTTAATAAACTTTTTAATTTTTTGAGTTAAGAAGTTATTTATTAATAATTTTTTTAAATCTTCTATATTAATCTTTTCACTTTTTTCTTTAATTTTCAAAACTAGAGTCATATTTTTTTAACAAAATTAGATACAATATTTATACTTGAGTAATATTTATGATAAATCATTTTCATTAAACGTTAACGCATGTTATCAAAGTTAAACTCGAATTCTGATTAAAGAAAAAGAGCAACAACATTCATGGTATTATGTGTAAGTTTTTTCTACTTTATTATTTCAATTTTTCATATTACCACAATTCTGTAAATTATAATAAATTAACATAAAATAAATATTACAAAGTAAATAAGAGAAAATGATGGAATAATTGAACTTAAAAATGAAAAGAATTACATATTTT